TCCCTCTGGTAATGACTTCCTATGGCTTGGTGTATCTGCCATGGATTCACCGAGAATACAATGCAGATATTTCGGCCTTGGATGTAATGCATCATGGAGATAACTCAATTCCAGCATAGTACTTTGCAATGTCAGCATGGTCGTTGCAATTCTATTAGGCTTTCTACATGCGATTTTTGAAACCCAACATGACGTGTAATTAAACATTGAATCAAGGATATAAGTTGCATCAATGCACTGTGTACGGTGAATATTGCGGGAGTCTAAAAGCTGTACTAGTCTAAGCAATTTACACTACATTCTTGCGCAGGTTTTCCCCAAAAAGCTGAGACGCGAAATTCACGTCTTTTGAGGCCCAAATCGCACGCAGCGGCCGAATATGTGTACCGCCTTTCACAACAGTCAGGCTTGGTTTTTACTTTTAGGTTTACGTTTGCACTTTTACGCTTTTATGAATAAAAACGTAAATTTGCAAAGAAGCCTACTTTTACGGCTATTTTTATGTTTTAACGGCTCCCTGGGACACCCAGTTTGCACAATGAAAGCTGCTCACAATGATGAGTCCTCGCCAACTCCATCACCCGCATCGCAATGTCCACCTCGCCCCTGGCAAGGGCGATAATGGCGTTTAACAAAAACTCGTTCTCTGCCCCTTCCAATGCGTCTGGCTGCCACTCCCCGGACTCCGTAATCCTCTATCTACTGTCCTTACATACACCGGGCAGTTTTTACGTTGTACTTACGTATTTTAGCGCATTCTGATGAGTAAAAAAACTATTTTTACAGGTAAAGGCGTCAAACTATTTTAACGCGTAAAAACGCAAATACGTTCAGGTTTTGTGGCGTAAAAGTCAAGCCTGACAACAGTTGTTTTGTCATCCTTGCCATCAAGGCTACCTCGGGGATGCCGGCACCATCTTGTGCTTGACCCATCCAAAGGCGGAACCCACTGCCTCCGCCATGGGCGTGACGACCTCTTCTACGCGCTCTTTCACTTCTTCTGGAGCCACCTTCTTGTACACAGCGTATCCGACGCCGCAGCAAACCAGAAGGCTAATTGAGATGGCCAGAAATGTTGGGAGTGTGCCTGCACGCCTTTTCTTTGGACCTGGTACTTCAATGTCCATCTGCAACATATTGATGGAATCCTTGAGCTGGACGTCTCTGCGTCCATGCAAAGAGAATCACAGGCCTTGAATGTGCATCAATGATGTGTCAATGGCGTGTTGGCACGGGTTGTATTAGGATTTGAACCATCCAGGTTAAATCTGCCATGTCAACATCACAACATATCGGTTGGCATTTCAAGCCCCGTTATATGCATTTCCGTCTCTCCACAGGATGGCTGTTCAGGTATGGATGTGATGGGAGAAGAGTCGCAAAGATGTGAAATTAACGAGAGCGCAACGGGTGGGTCCATTACCCAGTGCCCTTTTCCATCCGTGAAATTAAACAGATCCACTCTCGTTTCGTTGGAGAGCGTGCACTGGTCGTTGTGAATGAGTCTTCTTCCCGTTGCGGCGACTGTATATTCACCGGCTTCGATGACCTGAACGACAAACCAGCATCTCAAATTTACTATGGTGCTGCTAGAAATCTGCATCATGGTCGTACCCATTGCAACATGAAACACATTATGTCGGATAGAAGCGCAGTTCCTACCACTGAGGCGAGATCGCTGAGGTTATGGTATATACGTGTGAGCTCCCTCGCTTTGTCTTGGCGCAGGGCCGATACATCGTGACTTGGAGTATTGATTTTGCATGAACCATATTGAGCAATGAAGGGAAAAACAGCATGAACGGGCCGAAGCGTCCCGTGCCTGATAATGCCTTCCAGGAGACAGCACCAGAGACACGCTAACCTACACGTGCTGCGAATTGTTTTAGTTGCAGCGATATTGCGTAGCGACCATGAAGAGCCTGCATGGCCTTTCAATGCAAAGATGTCGGAAACAGCTCCAGAGAAAAAAGACGGAGCAACTAGTGTCCAATCGCAATCCCCTTGGTTTGCGACGTGGAGAAAATTTGCGGTGCTGTGCGCCCGGGCATCCTCACATCGCATACTGAAATATCCTCAGGGTTTATGCGGATGCAGGGGCTTCCATATTCTTCACCACTTGACACCCAGCCGTAGTCGCATTCCGCATCGCAGACAGAGCAACTGCACTTTGTTTTTTGGTGCTTTCTGCGGATGTAATCACCACCGCTGAAGCAATTGGAGAGCGCTTTCCTTTTCTCCATTTGGAACTCCATGCCTGCAAAGCATCAATACCTCTTAGATGCCTCCCATCCGCAGCTCAGTGAGCAACGTGACAATGTGACAATGTCGGCACGGATCTGTGCAGGCCAAAATGCATCCACTGATGCTGAGATGGGAAAGATTCAATGCTCGCCATAAACAGACAGTAGGTGCTGCAGTCTCAAGCGCACCTGGATTGGGTTTCGAATCAGCAGCCCAGGAGGAGTGGCTGTTGCTCTGGAAGCCAAACGTAATCGGAGTACCGATTGATTGGTCTGTTTATAAGTTGGTTGGAGAATGGAATGGTAGATTGTATACCCCTCAAAGGGTAAGGTTTCAAATTAGCTCAACTGTTTATGCAGGGATTTAGACACTGGTAGGAAAAGTCATGTTTGCGATGCCAACTGCGATGCCATGTTGACACAAAGTGGTGCCGACGCAGTGATTGCGATGGCATACAAGGGGCTGTAATGGCATCAATTTCTGTCAGATGGCATCGCAGTTGGCATCGCAAACAAGCTGTTTTTTACTGGCGATAACCGTTCACAAGGCAATGCTTCATATCCAGAGGCTTAATTTTGGCTCAGGAGCACAGACTGCGAGCCTGAGCATCGATGTGTGCTTCGCTCCTGGATTCAAATGGGCAGGTGTTTTCAAGGAACGTGGCATTCCGATTCGGGACGTGGATTCCACCAAAATTTGCCATGGCAGCGGCACCTCGAGTGGGCCAGGAGGAAACAAGTTTTCGCCGCTGCCCCCTATCGTGCGTGCGGTGCACGCATGCGCTCGTTTCGCAGAGCTCACCCAGCAGGCAGCGGCAGTCTTCGAGATTGTTGAGTGGTCGCCACGTCTCATAGTCTCCGCGGTCGCACTGCCGCGCGTTGGGCAGAATATCCTTCACGTCCACTGTGTACACGACGCCCCCGGCACCCGGGTTTGAGCCGTCATCCTCGGAGCAACCTTCGCCCTCCGTCTTGAAGCACGCGGATCCGTGCACTATGAACCGCGACCTCTGGTTGTCAGGTTCTGTCCTGGAGAACAGGGTGAACAGCGTTGATGCACCGAAAGCGCGCATCTCGATTTTGTCGTGAGGCAATGCTTGAATCTCTTTAATTGACTGATGGCTATTACGAGTTCCTTGCGTTTTGCAAACACTGTCTGAATTTGTTGCATGCACCTGACTGAGCATAAGCTCAGAGCCAATATTGGCTCTGCGGAATGCAAGCCAGAAATGCAGGGCAGCATAAGGCCATGTGGTTGAATGCGAGGAATCCCGTTATTCACAAAACAAAAAGGAGCTTGAATTTCTTCGGTGGCTGCATCTTTGGAAATGCTACATTGCGTTCTTGGTGTAAAATCGGGTGGTTGAAAGTGTACTGTTCGTTATCCATGTTCCCCTCTTGAAAAAGTTGGAGCTGTCTCGCAACGCAGCTATGTAACGTATTTCGCGATGGCTGCCCAGCCTTACAAGTGCTTGGGTGTCAGTCTGCTTCTCTTGCTTTGTTGCTTTTGGATTATGAATCAAAATGCCCTGTTGACGAAACATTGGTGTCCGCAGGGCGTGATTGTTTCCTGCCTAAAACTGTTGTTCTGCACATTCATTGTACAACACAAAACCCATGAAATCTCATGTTAATTCATGAAATCTCATATTAACATAAAATGTTTGCGCAAATCTGGACTCAGCCAACACATATTTAGCCACTCCTGCCTGAGTCGCATATGTGAATTTATTGAATGTATCTGTCTAATACATCTACCTTATCAATGTTTATATCTTATGCATCGCTTCGTCCCCTTTTGAAACTCCACCTGATATTGTCGACCTTCAGAGATATTTGCAGCGGGATTTTGTTCCAGCACCTGCCTTCGTCGATAGAGAACAGGAGTTCGTTGGTGGGTCCGTCTGTGGTGTATTTTGCCATGAGGATGACGCCTCCGTGGTCTCCGTACTCGTAGATATAGTTCATGGGAGCCACATCCCACCAACTCACCCCCCCATCTGTTGAAAGCCAAGTGCAAGTTCTACATCAGACACAACAAAGCTTAGTTCAGGCATCTAGACGATCTAGAAGAGTCCGTTGATATACGCTTCATAGGGAAGGAGCGATGATGGATGTTTTTGGAGTACTGGCTCTGCAGTAAGTCAGTGAGCTATGTAGTTGAAGAAACCGAGCTGAACTGCGTGAACTACGCGACGTACGAAATCTGCTGTGGAGACTAGATGGGTGAAAATTCCGGGATAGGGAATTTTTAGATGGCGTCAACAGTAACAGCGGACAGCCCATGAGTGGGGCAAAGATACCATGAAACAACAATTGCAAGGTGGGGCTTTGCACAACTCTGAACTTTGCTTGCTCGCGTTTCGTTTCGCTGCAACACCAGAAAAAAGGCATACCATCTTAGCGCTCGCCATGCGGGTGGTGGTAATTAGCGTGGTACCTCTTCGGCTTTCAACAAACACATTATAGAATATATACAGTATATCAGCAGCATTCATTGAAAATATAACTGGGTAATAAACAAAAGAATGTGCTCCGTCGATTCGCTTCAGCAAATTCGACCGTTTCACCGAGAGTGCACAGAAGTGGCGCACGTGATTTACGCTGGTGTCGAAAAGCGATTAGGCAGGAGAAAATTGCGTACCATATCATGGATACTGTCACTGTAAATATCAGAGCTCCAGAAAATCCAACATATGTTATCGAAAGCAAATCATGTACTCCCCCCGGTGATCCGATGTCCCCCATGGCTCTCACCCGTCATTCTCTCCAAGGCCCGTTCCCCGTGGACCAACGTTACCCACGGCCATAACCATTCCCGGCAGTTTGTAATGCGAATACACCGTGGGGTGCGAGTCCAGTTCCCACACCCACGAGGAGGGCCCGTGCAGGTGCAGGTAGCAGTCCTTGCTGTCACGGCATCTGTTGCAGTTGTCGTGGCGATACTCGCGGGGTGCGGGAATGGAGCGCCACGTGCTGCCGCCATTGAACGATATCCTGGTGACCACAGTGGGGTTCTTGTTCCTGATTGAAATTTCGGCTTCTCCCCCGCGAGACACCTTCTGGTTCGCCACGTAGACGCCCTGCGTCAAAAGGGTTTGGTTCAAACACAAACTAAATGCCACCAACTGAACCTTGTAACGGGTTCAAGTCCCTTTCGAAGCACTGGCAATGCCATTGGTAGCGTGAGAGAGGGTGCATAAATCCATTCAACTTCGCATAGCTACACAGAAGAGACTTTTGAGATATGGCAGCACCGTGCTCAGCACGGATGAAAATGCCCCAGAGATCCAAATGCAGCTACGGGACATTCCGCGCATCAACATTTCACGTGATCGTAGATGGAGACCAGCGCAGCGTCGCCGATGTACACGTCATAAATATTCGGACAGAGCGCAGCTTTCCACGCACACTAGAGGAATGGAAATTCCGCTTCAGATGCATCAGTTTTTCTTAATGGTGCTGATTGTTGGCTACATATGTGCGATAGCGCGAAACCTAACTCCAGATGCCCATTTCCCAAATTTCTTTTTCGTATACAACCCCCATGGGGCTACTCCATTGGGGCCACACAGACTCTGTGAAGATGCAGCCCACCGGTAGACCTTCTATTCTCATGAAATCTCCGGCTTCGAAATTGTTGCGCATGCTGAGGGAGTACATGGCGGAATGGTTCCCAGACGAGTAAACGTTGGCCACCGTCATATGAGGGGAGCTGAGCGACTCCTGGTCCACCGATATGACATTGTGATCTACGATCACGAAAGCCCCGTTCCCGTCGTGCGTCGAGACCAAAGTGTAGCTCTCGTCCTGCGCCAAATTGAGACACCCATGCAATGGCACTGGAGCGGAACTTCCCTACATGTGCAGATGCATTGGAGGTGCCGTTTTCTGCAGGGGGTGATCTGCTTCCCAATTTCGACATTGGGGAGAGTGCAGATGCCCCAGTCTGCCTCCATGTCCAACCAGTGTATGCGAAATTTTTTTCACGATTATTCAATAATAGTTATATATGAGTGGGGAGTCACACAAGGGCTTGGCAGCGTCGCCACCCGCGGGCGCGCTGCAGAGAAATTTTGTTAAGCTTGTGAAACACTCCATTACAATTCGGTAGGTGGACGACAGTCATTTGCAACAGATGGGGGTCGAACTGTGCTGCAGTATCTTCCATACTCACTACCAAGCGTTTCCATTACCTCATGCAAATAGTGCCTTGCGACACAATACGCAAGAGGGGCTGAATGTGCTGTTTGCATTATAGGCGTGTCGCATGGATACTAATAATTTGTACTTCAGAAGTACTTCTTTGCTTATGTTGTTGCGGCCTCAAATCATATAGCACACTAAAGTTATTATACTTAAATGCATGTATACATCGCCATGAAAACGACATCAGGAACGAGTAAGGTGTTTACGCGGCACTGATGTACGTTGCCACATCGAATTCGCAGATACATTTCCATGCTGTGCTGCAGCAATGCCAATGCACCAACGTCTTCTGTGGCTTCGATGTCCCCGGCGATCACAAGGCGCCAAAAAGTGCACGAGTTCGTTAGAGATAACTATGGAAACGGCATTACTGCCGGCGAACAGTCGATGAGTGAATCTGCATGCAGTAAATGCTCAGCAATACATCAACATCTCATTGCGGTTATGGCCACCGGCTCTGCATCAACACTACCCTCATAACATGGTGCATAGGACTGCGCTGAAAACTCTGTCCAGCTTCGCGCCTCCGCACCCTCAGTGGCGTTGGAAGGCAGGCCTCGTGGAAGGTTATCGCGTCCAAATCGCTGACAATCAGTGACACCCCGGACGCCCTGTCGGCGGACTCCGGCATGTGGGCCTTCTTGGCTCCATGGATGTCCAGGGGACAGGCGGAGGCGACGCCCAGGAACACCTTTCTGGACAGAATTTCGAACTGGTTGCCGCAGGGCACCACTTTTTCGTGACCGGACTGGAAGAAATCGCCACTGCGGACGAATTGGATGTCCTTGGACCATCCGGGATAGAGGCCCTTCATGTCGAGTGCGTTCTCGTAAACGGTGGCGAGGATGGATGACTCAGAAAAGAGGGACTTGGATCCCTGGGAAGTCAGTTTAATGAAGGTTGTAGCTCAATGGCCACCCTGTGTTGGGATGGTTCTGGGCACATGCTTTTGTTCGTAACGATCGAATAACAGCATGGACTTCCTTCCGCCGAATCAGGTACTTCGAAATAAAAAGTTGGCTGCCACATTTGCCCGACTTGCCTGCTTTACTATGGTATAATAACACCACAAAACAATGCAAGGTGAACTGTCTCGATTCCACTGAAACTGTATTGAAGATAGCAATAAAATGGCGGCTAAGATCGAATGATTAAGTCCGGCTTCAAAACGATTACAATCCACATTAATATTTCCCATTTTGCAAATCTCAACACATTTCGAATACGTACTAAATGGGCCATATTCGCTCAGTGAAGGCATATCATGAGGTGTCAGCGCAATCGACCATGTGTGAAATGGCAACAGGGCAATTCCTTGCGCACGAAGCGCGGACATGTCATTACCGTTGCGCACTTCATGCATCGAGGGTCTTACCTTACTCTTATCCCCATGCGTTGCGGTCGCCCCCCAGTCGAAATCCACAAAGGCGGCTATTCTCCCGTTTGAACTGGCGGTCATATTCGTCCACTTCATATCTTTCCAGGCATCCTGAGAATTCCAAGGGCGCACTTCAGTGTATTTTTGCGGCACTGCATTCCTCCATGGTAGCACGCTAAATCTGGCGGCGATTGTGCCACAGAGGGATCTTGTTTTTTCTTATACCATCTACACTCTGGACATGACAAATCACTGTCGCTGTTGCGCTCAAGTGGCATTTTGTTTTGTATTGGATTTGTGGCTCTTATTTCATTGATGCCATGAAGCTTGTTGGACTTTTGCGTAGACAATGCCTTAACGATGATTTTGTCCTTGATTCTCAGCCACTTGTTTTGAGCGACAAAATCTGGAGTTCACGGCATCCTCTGATATCGAACCTGAGTCACGAAAAGGTCCATCGCGCAAAGGGATGGATCCGCAGATTCTTCGTCAAAACATGCGTCCCTTTGAACCAATGCAAGTATCCAATCCGTCACCGACGGGTGGGGCTTCAAGACTTGGCCAATTCCGTAGGTGTTCCCCGGCGTTGCGCGAGCGACGACGGTTTCGCCATAATCGCTAGATACCCTGGAGCAGCGGAAATTATAGTCGTTGTTGATTCAAATCTGCAAACAGGCACGCCGCGATGCATGTCGCGGGCGCCATGTATGTCACAGGGAGATGTATTTCAAAAACTGAGGGTGCACATGTCCTTAGAAATTTCAATTCGAAAGCGATGCGAGAGTGCGCGTAGAATATTGCAAACCACAACAAACATAGGCACGAAAAACCGCATGTTGTGGAAGCGATTTGATGCGCAGCATGGACGTTGCGTTGCGTAGGTGCTAATTGCACTGCTTCCAGCTCAATTTTCAATTGGATTGACCAAATCAAACCCCGTGACTTGATATGTAGACTCAGTTTCTCCATTGACGAGGCAGGCCAGTCAAGTTTATGTGAAGTCTGAAAACACGAAGGCTCGGCGATTATTCTGACATGCAGCATTGCGTCTGCTAGCCAACGGCGAGGAGCTCACCAATGGTATTTCCCAACCCCTTGGAATATGATGTGTTTGGGGTCATTCTTGTGGACGAACATGTCGGCGACTTTACCTTCCTCGTTACCAGCGTCTTCCGGCAACGCATCTGAAGATGCATCAACAGATCACTTAAATTACCTTGTGCTCTCCAGCAAAGCAGAGCCACAGGGAAGTGGACTACATCACGTTGGAAACATCGGGTTGCCCATCACATCGAATGAATGTTGAAAGCATTCGTCCTCGGTTGGCTTTCCGCAAGAAAAGCAGGCATGAAATCGCCATTACGCAATTTTTAGAGAGACTAGGGAGGCTGACATCCTGAAGATGTGCAGATACCACGATCCGTTTGAGATATGTCGCGCGCTGACGGCTACCCAGGGGATCATCTGATATAGGATCTCAAATTCCATCTCAAATTGCACCCCGAGGACTACAAACTGCATCGCGGCATGGAGCCAGTGCCTGGCACCCAATCTGCTGCATGTTCACTTCCGATGTGTGAGGAATCAGCATCAAGGTTCTGAGCGCTACGCAAAATTTCTCTTCGCAGGGACGTTAGTGAGGAGAAATCTCTGTACCAAGATGCTGTTGAGCTTTCTGTATTTCTTTATGCCACAGGCACTGCACCCTTTGACAGTGCTGCGTATCGAGATTGCTTGATTGGAGCTGGTATAGCAATTATCAGATGGTGCGTCCCGTATCATGCAAATACTTGCAAGTAACTACCTGTAAATGTGCTCGTCATAGAACTCCAGGTGCTGCCAGCATCCGAAGATCTCCACACATGGTAGGTGTACATATCAGTAAGCTCTGTTGTCAGGAGGAAGACGTACTGAGTACAACAGCCATGCGTTACTGTACAGAACATCATCATATCAGACTATATATCTCAAGCAAGTGGCACTAATCTGGACGAGGAATGTGTGCGCGCCTGCTAAAGGAAGGCGCTGTGGCCGATTCACTCCGCCTAGCGTCAATTTGACGTTGAGAGGGGGAGGGGTGGGGGGTGTCTGACCTTAACGCCAAATTGATCCTAATCGCACCAATTCGACACAGTGTCTTCCCTAAGAAGAGGTCAGACTTGATGTTGATGCGTCACCATACCAGAAAAGAAATTGCAAGAAGAAGCGACGCACATTCATTTTGATATCAATGCCAATTGGTGGGTTGCCCAGGGTTCACCAGGCAGCAGTGGTCAGAATTTGGAAGGTTCATAGCCCTCAGCAGTAAACTAAACAATTGGCTAAATTGGAAGTTGAATACAGCCGAGGTCGTAAGTTAGTTAACCATGTGGGGAATGTGATTCATATGATCATCCCGCTTCTATGACGAACCATGAAGGGAGGGTCGCCAGGAGGCCAAGCAGTGCGCACGGAATAGATTCGTTCACCAGAATGGTGTGACAGTACTGCAGTTGGTTGGTATGTGCTTCACAAACCTATGGACATTCCAAATGCGTTGTGCTATGCATACTTGGTCAAGTAGATAGCCTTCGGAACGGAGTTATGAGGCTACAAAATTCCTGTCGTGCAATATCTTCAAAATATTGATACATTGTCATTTTATGGATGCGTAACTGAAGCAATGTGTGCAGCGCTTTCCCCGACACCCAAGCAAATATTTGAAAAACGGCGCAGTGTGGTGTGGAAAAGCGTCTGAAGTGCAGACAGCAACAGCCAGGATGTAAGGACGTTGGCGCCGAGTGCCCAAATGTGTCGTCCGCCGTGCTGTTGCCGAGCGAACCACTACCATTTGGGCGAAATAGAAACAGGACACAAGCCTCCTCGCCACTGAATTTCAAACAATGTCCACCGCTTTCTCAGCACAGCCCGCCTTGCAGCCATCCAAACAACTCAAAGTACTGGCACTGCACCACACTGCACGCCAAAGTACTGGGCCGCGCGTCGATTCCCTCACCTTGTCCTCCTGTCCGGCCCACTGGATGTCATACACCACCGACTCCGTGCGCAAGCTCTGGTCACCAGCGATCGGCACACGTCCGTCAGCTCCGACGCGCACCGCCCGAGCGCACTCCAGAGCGAAACGCTCCAAAGCCGATTGCAGCAACTTGTTGCAACAGCCACGGCCATCGACGCCCCCGCGGGTAACGTTTGGCCCCTCCTTATGATCGCACGTTATAAACTCACGCTCGGTATAAACGTATGCATAAAGTTAAACTCACCGGCTTGATCTCCTGGAACGTCTTGGGCCCGCCCGGGCAATCAGATTCCACCAGCAGATGCCGCCCAGGCCCGTCCCCTGATCTCGAACCTTCGAAGCCGCGGGGCGCCCTTCCCGGTGGGGCCCTCGCCCGGGGATTGCGGCCGTGCGGATGGCGCCACCCCGGCGAAGCGACGCGATCGAGATCGGGGGCCTGCAGCGGCGCCGCGGGTTGCAGGGCCAGCAGCAGCGCGAGGATCGGAATGTAGTGCCGGCGGAGCATCGCGCCCCCCGCCCGGCGGGCTGATCGTCGCGGGGGCCGGCGGGAGGGGACGGGTTGGCGGGCGCGCCCGACGCCTGCACAGAAAGGGGAGGGGAGCGAAAGAGCGGGGCGCGGCGCGGGGGCGCGGGCCTACTGGCCCAGGCTCGGGAAAAAAACCCGCGAACGCGGATGTCGTTTGGGGCAGATCAGGTATAAAAATGTTCCCCCGGCGGGAGTGGGGTGGGTGGGTGGGTCGGGGCTCGGCTGCAGTTGGCGAAGAAATTGCGCGCCTTTGATGGTAGCTTGTCGGCATCACCCGGGAATCCGAGACTTTGCGCCTCGGAGGCCATGGCGGGGCAGCAACATCCCATAAGCATTTGTTGGGTCCTTCTTTAATAGAGCCTTCATAAGGGAGGGAGGTATGGATTCCCTTTTTTGGTGGTATCTCATGTTCACACACTGCCACTCAAACTCGCCTGCAACACACTTGGCATAACACACCATACCGATGGACCTTCAAATGGTCGGTTGTTACATCAAAGCTCATACAAACATTGTTTGTGCTAAGCTTTTGGATGTTTAAGTAAGATTAATAAATTATGTACATCTCTTTTGCTGCTTCTGCCATCCTTCATAGAACAGAATTTTAATTGCCAAAATCTTTTTATTAATGGTTTAATGCAATTAGCTATCATATTAATATGTTTCCACCAAGGACAACATTGGGTGGGCTGCGCCGATGATTTAAATCGGTAATAGTTGAATTCAAACGGTTTTCTAGCCTCTTTAGTACGTTGGGTTAGTTAAAGTACATAGTTTCCAAGTTACTGCCAGTTTAGCACCCTTAGACTTTGGCGGGCTTTGGTAGGGCTGAGCAGGGGCAATTATTTAGGCCCCACCCTTGGTCCTCCTCCTATTTTGTTTCGCTTCGTGCCAACGCGTTGGCACTGGGCTGGACGTGGTGGTGCTGGCGCCCAACTAGCTAAGCATTGTGTGGTTTCCCAAACTGCGGGAGATGGCAAGGGTGGAGATTTTCATCCCCCGCCATTGCGACCTCTTTCTCCAGGGTGACCTGAGCACAATGGAACTTGCCGGTTTTCCATTTGGCCCCACAGACATAAAAGACGAGGTGTTGTGGTTGCCTCTAACTATGCAATGAGCAAGCCCGAGGCTCCTTCTTCACCCAAGGGTGAACCTCCATCAGGCCCCTTGCACTAGAACTAGTCCCGGTGGACCACCCTCTTTATAGCACCAAGATCGATGGTCTACTGTCCACCAATAAGAACTAGATGGTGCAGCTATTCTTGACCTTCTATACGGAGGCCATACGCCACAACACAAAGGCACAATTTCTTTGCTTTCAAAATTCCTGTGAGGAACAATCGCTCGTGGTGCTCCATGTGCAGTAGGCTACCATCTACTACTACACTCATTTTCTACAAGAGGAGGGCAACGTGGGAGTGCGATCACTATTGTAATATTTGGCAGCGACCTCCATGATGCACCAAATGTCTGGGCACCTTGGTCTTTCAAATTTTGACCCCATGGCTTGGGTCCTCACCCATGTCTAGAGATGGGCCGTACTAGCCCCGGTGCAACATCACTGCCTATGCTAATCAACATGATGATCCATGTCCTTGACATCAGTTTGACAACGGAGGATAGGGCCTTCATTTGGGTAGTGTGCGTGTAACCCATATTGGTTACATTTTCTTCAATCGGGCTCAGTTGAGCTATTGCATCCTGGTGGAGGATAATCAGGTTGATGATAGCATTGTTTTGTTTTGTGAGCACTAGTCTAATTTCCACCTCGACGAGGCCCCCTAGTCATGCTACCATTCGCGGATATCCCAAGGGGCCCCCAATGTTGTGGAGCTCATTCTTTGCTGAACGATTTAACATGGTAATGCCTAGGCACAGACTGACCAGTTGCCCCACCGCTTCTATTAGCTAGCCGGCGAATCCACCCCAAGCTCCAAGATGGGGGCGATTTGGTTCTTGTCATTGCTCGACCATACACCAAGCATCGCCTGGGCACTTATATGCACCACGGCCTATGCGCGGGGGCGCTTCAAGCTATTTTGCTTTGAAGGTCATGGAGTGGTGCATCAAGACACTATGTGGTCATACGTTGATGGTTCTTGTTTACCTGTTGAGTGGGACTTTCAACTTTTTGGATGGATGAACATCATTGCCCACAAACTACAAGAGAAGGTTGGGCATATTTTGTGCTCCGGAGGTGCCACATGTACACATAAAGAGGGAGAATAGGCAAATTATTAAGTACAAGGCCCCCGGGTATTCGGAGCTCATGGTGGCGGACACCTTTTTTAAAAATGTGTTGTCATGTGGGGAACATGACTGAGTGGGTTCAGGAGACGGGTCAGGTGGAAATTGTTTCATAGCCATTATATGTGACTATGGACTATGCAGTGGCTGAGTCACGGCCACGTGTTTTCTCTCTCTCTTTCTTCAAAGGTAAAACCAATTTAGAGACCAATGTTGACAGTGCCCCGAGACAAGAAACAACCAAAAAAGATTCCAGCTTGAAGAGCACAAACCACTTCATATTGAACCGTGCCACAAATTGGCCCAGAATACAAATCAAAAGAAGCCCTAGGAAAGGCACCAACACTTTCCACTATTCCAACATACTTTCTTCATACACGCTCAAAGTCCCATAGAAAAGTAAGGTGCCTCTTCAAGGTAGCAAACTCTCTTGCCGACCTTGCCAAAGGGAGGTTATCTCTTGGCATCAATGACACCAAATTTTGATAAGTGTTTGCAATGATTCTTTGCACCAAGCGGGCACCACGAATAGAAATGTCAGAAGCGAGCAAAACCAACTTCACAAGCACTGCAGTCACAAAGGCATAACCCAGTGCCTTCTACAATTCCCACCACTTTTTATCACTCCAAAATGCACTGCACCACTCTCCCATTTGTTTGGCTGGCTCACGTTCACCACCAAGAGAGAGCAAGGCATCGTCTAGGTATAGAGTCACCTCCAGGGCTTTGGGTGCTTCGTCATACACTTTGTGCTTCTGAAGTTTCCCTTTTTCTCCTTGTCAATAACTTTTTAGTACAATAAATCGACGCCTGCTGACTTGAGCTTCCAGCCACTTAATCTTGCTTCACCTTCAATGCAACTCAGCTCCTTCAGAACACTTTGCAACTCCCTTTGACAACTTTCTGCCACTCTTTTGGGCTTCTCAAAACTTGGCCACGAAGGCCTTATCTCCAGCACACGTTCCCACGTCGCTCCACCTCACAACAACGCTCCTGGGCTCGCCAGTAGTCACCGACTCGTTGGCAACGTTGACAATCGGTTCGCAACACTCACCACAACTAGCACTACCAAAAGTTTGGCTCTTCTATTCTCCAACGCTCACCAAAACGTCTAAAAAACGTTCACCAAGGTTATCCTAGCCTCACAATAGTTTTGCACACTCATACAAAGCATAGAACGGTCGTTGACACGCAGTGGTGCATTTTTTTGGTTGGTTCGCGGGTGATGCACCCGCTGAGGCGCCCGAAGGGGGCACGGGGCCCCCTCCGCTGGATGGCGGGCAGGCTTTCTGGGGCGCTCGTGTCTTCGGATGCACAATGTGGGCCTAGGCCTATAGAATGGCCGGGTGCAGGGTGGACATACACGCAGTGGGTGCACGCCGCACTTTGTGCCCTGCAGGTGCAACCGCGGGGAGGCGAGAGTGGGCACGAATGGAATTACAAATTGTCGTGTGGGGTCGGCCACATGACCCCTATATGCAGTGGTACATAACCGACAGAACAATGTAACCAATGTACCCGTATCGATAGTATCTCATCCCCGAGTATGGTAGGGGCCCAATCTTAAGTATTACAATTTTAACTAACTATAACTAGAGGTGGCCACTCAAGGGTGCCATCCGGTCCGTTAAATCCGGTTCGTTAATTTTTATCAGCTGTCCGTTAAATTTCGTTAAAGAAAAAGGGAGGAAAATTCAGAAAAAACGAAAAAAAACCAAAAAAATCGAAAAAAACCCAAAAAATCACAACAACTGCGGCTAGTTGAAAATCTAGTATGCATAGGTTGAAATAAAATACAAACATACTCTCTAATAGCGAATTCCATAAACTATAAGTATGAAAAAACCCCAAAAATTCCCAAAAAATCCCAAAATCCGCTAATTTTTGGTTAATTTTTGTCTTTTTTCGTTATTTTCCGTTAATTAACGGAAAATTAACGGAAATTAACCTCTGTCCGCTATTAACGGATCCGGGTGGCCACCTCTAACTATAACTCCACTACCGCTAACCCTTTTGGGATGATTCAAGGATCTATGGAAAGCTAACAGCCTCCTCTATCCAATCTAGGTACAATCTTGTGTCCATTGTTATTTCCCAATTTGTAACTTGAGTCAGCTTGTTGCCTTCTAGTAGTTTACACAACACGCAGTACAAACAAGTACTCAGCACTCGAGGTGCAGTGCTGCCCTTCACACAGAATTCTGTGTAGGGCCTGACCTTTTGCACAGGAACACAACGCTTGACACGTTGCCAAAGTCTAGTGCATGGTGCGCAATGATCTAGATAGTGTTGGGCTTTAACAGCAGTGCTATTACAGCACGGGTCAAGAACCCGGTTAATCATCAACAACTCCGTTACAAGCTCCCAAAATCAACCGGTTCAATGTCCAACGGCTAGGGTCTGTGCTGCGACCAAATGGGTGCACACAACCCTGCTCAAATACCCCATACCCGCTCCCCAAAGATTCACATTGTTTTTGGGGAATATCCTACTTCCTCTACCCAGAATTAATTGTTCTCTTTTTGAGAGACAAAATTCATTACAAAAGACAACCTAAATTTTTAAAAAATAATACAATCGGAAAGAGAGGGTTGCAAAACCCTTAACTACCAATTTTCAAGAAAAAAAGTTAGTCCCACCACCTCTTGATGGCCCCCCAAATTGGTCGCAAATGGTCCAAAAAGTGTGCGTGTAGTTTTTGCATCCACTAAAGATCCACACATTTCTGGGTC